CTCTTCTACGAGTAAAAAAAAGAATAATAATGTGCGTTAAAAGTATATGTTTGTAAATTAAATTAGAAATAATCATTTTCAGTCTGTCTATTTAAATACATACCTAATTATTATTTCAAGCCAAGTTTACATAGCTTTGTTTTTGTCTCTATAAATTTAAAATTGCAAATAAATTATACTTAAAGCGTTTTTCAAATAAAAAAAGTACTTATAATAATAACACATCTTGCCATTTTCTGTTTCATCAATAAATACGTATGTAGAATCAGCTAATTAAGAAAGTGAATTTCTGGTGATGAAAGAAATGTAAATTTGCCTATGTGAACAAGACTTTAGTTAGCACTTATTTTGTCAGTGATAAGACTGATAAGTAGCAGGTAGATATAAAATAGAAATATGTAAATAAAAAAGATTTGTACGATTTCACAACACATTACCCACTTAAGTAAAATTTCGTCGCAAAACAACATAATTTTATTAGCGCCCAGGAAATTATTTATTTTTAAATAAATTTGTGGTAATAATGGTTTACAATTCAGGGAAATCACGTGTGCGTTGTATAAATGACGTTTGCGACGACGTTACCCGATTGTTTCAATCTACGCGAAAATGTACGAACTTCTTCAGTCCATTTCAAACACGAGGCGGAATGTGTTGTTTCAGAGTGTTGTGGAGTATTTGCGGTAACTAATTTTTTTCGACGTATGCAAAGGTAGAAGGTTTCTAAAAATTAATTTTAAATCATTGTATTTTTTATATTTTAGTTAATGAATAATTGTTTTAATTTGACTAAAAAAATATTGTCTAAATTAACATTATAAGAATTTACCTGTTCTTTTATTATTAATTTGAATAAGCAATAACAACTTTTTTATCTTGAGCAACTAAAACTTTTATTTTAAGTTGGTGTTGTTAAGGTGTTTGCGATCACATCACAAATTCAAAACTTTTTTGAGGTTATGTAGCCGCAAGTCGAGCTTCATAAATTAATAACAACGTAGAATTTCAATTTTTTAATACATGTAGTTGTTTTTAAGAAATTAGATTTTTACATACCTGGTAAATTCATATTCTTCTTGCTTTATATTATCTCTTTATCAGACCACCAGAATTTTGCACAACGATGAATGAATTAATAAGTGATGAGTACTGATGAGTAGTTTGAGGGTCCAAGGTGGTCCCAGCTTTAATGAAATTGTGCTTCTAAAGATGTTATTTTCATTCGTTTTTTTTAAATACCTACGTACTAAACTCTATGATAATTCGTACTGATTATGAAAAATTGTATCACTGTTTACATGACAAATACTAAGAAATCCTGAGTAGTTAAAAGTTATTGGCTGCTTGACTCGTTTCGTTACCGCTCTATATCAGTATATCCCAACTGATAATAGAATACCTAATCAGTTATTTTGCAATATTGTTTTAAAATTGAGGTAAATTGAAAAAAGAGCTTTAAAATTGTCAAAAAATTGTGGAGAAAGAATTAAAGCTATTGGTAATCATAACGGAAAAAATGGTATGGGGAGGTAACTGAAAGTATGTAGCACATCAATATTTTTTATAAAAATATAATAATATTACATTTCCACAACACTTAACCACGTTTTTATTTAGACTTACGATGTATTTGATAACTAACTTTATGGCTTCGATAAAATAAAAACTCAACGATGTAATTGGTTAAAAAAGTGTATTGCTTAGCGACGTACTTTTAAAAGCTATAGCATCTCAATCCGATGCTTAATGAATCCTAAAAAAGAGTAAAGATCATTAGATAATATATTTTTATTTTTCGTACTTGGGTGGATAAAATACATCAAAATACATAATAATAACAAATCAAAACTTTTTCTTAATTATGATAAAAGATTTTAAATACAAATTACTCGTATAGTGAAAGTCGATAATAATTATCTAACTTTTTCATTCAAGCTTAAATTGGAATGAGTCGTAAATATTGCATGCATGGAAGTCATGGAACATCATACGAGTAAAGATAATACTCCTATGTTTTATTATATGCGTATTTAAATATGTAATTATTATTGTTACAGAAATGTGAAAGATTTACATATACAGATGTCCCAAAAAATGAGATATTAAAAACACGGAAAAAATGTTTAAAGAATTCTCTGTCAAAAAATATTGACATATTTTTTGATCTTTTTTTTTTTGATTTTTTTAATGTCTATTTATTGTTACCGATGATCTTAATTATTCAGTAAAGGTACATAAACTTTGCCAATAAAAGCAACAATGTTAAACACAGTTACAAATTCAGGATACAGCTTCTTCTAAGAGCCTGCAGCAAAAAACATGTAAAATTTTGAAATTCTTACAGATAGATTTTTTTAAACATTTTTTTTATCTTACTTGGCCTTTTTCTCTGGTACGCGAATTTTGGAACATCCTGCATCATGTGATCGAGAAAATGTATCTTTTAGAAGGGCTTGACTCTGTTTTTTTACATACTATAATTTACATGGTCATTTGACATTTTACAGCCTTGTAGGAATAAATTTTTTCGATCATAATATGGTTCCTAAGTACATATATTATTTTTAATTTTAACACCTGTCTAATTTTGATAGGCAATAGGTTTTCATCATCAGGTTTCAATTGTTCATTAACTCATTCAACGAGCGTATGGTCTAATGATCATTGGACATAACAGTTTTTTTAAAAGATATTATACCGGGTGTCCCAGCGAGTTGAAAAAATCCATTAGTGCCCCTTAAATGGTACAATTTTTTTTTAAAATGTATAGGACATTGATAGATACTAATCTAGTGCATCACCTAAAATTATTTTCAACCATACAGCATGTCCCAAAAATAAGTTACGACACAAACTCGTGTTTTTTTAAATGAAACACCGTATGTTTACACCGTATGTTTCTTGGCATTTTTGGATGTAGCCTTTTATAACAATGTTTTTACGCTAAACATTTATTAGTCGATTTCGCTTAGTTTTTTAGAAATAAAACGTTATTTTGACGAAAACATGCACTTTTTAAAAATTTATTACACAAAAACTAAGACAGCTAGAACAAATCTTTTCTTACTCTGCAAAGAAGAAAGTACAGAATTTAAAGCTGTAGCATTTTTTAGTGTTTTGCATTTGTAATAGTATATTACATAACGAGCACGGAAAGTGATAATGATAAATAACGCACAAGCGGGAAAGTTGCGCACAAGGCGTTAGCCGAGTGCAGGCAATCCCGCGAGTGCGTTAGACACTTTCCTGCAAGTTTTGTACACTATTTTTCCTACGACCATAAATAATTTTTTCTTACGAACATATTTTTTTTTCATAACGATTTGTTTTTTATAATGGATACAAAAATACGTTGAATAACGATTTATTTTTTATAATGGATACAAAAAAAATACGTTAAATGAAAAAATACAAAACATTCGAGTGTGAATTGTGCGTTAGATTTCTAACATACAATGCGAAAACAAATCGCACTGATTTTTGACCTCGTACGATATTGCCAATTTTCGCGCATACTCGTATGTAATTGTGCGTTATGATCTAGTTTCGTATATGGTCGTAGGAAAAGATTAATAAATTAAGAAGTTTGTTAAAAGTTAAATAACTTAAAAAATTTTAATGGAACACCCTATTTATTATTTTTGCATCTAATAGATTGATAAATTGTCTATGTAAAGAAATAAACTTTTAGGTTCTCGAATTGATAAATGAAAAAATATGTAAAATTCAATATTAATTGCAGTAACAATGCCTATCAATATCTGAGCATTGTTGATACTATGGCAACCATAGTAATTCCACCACGGATCACTTATCCGTTGATTTATCCAGAGATTGTAAAAGTCGTTATAAATACTGAAATTCGAATTATTTTATTGAAAAAATAAAGAATAATGAATTCAGTTTAACACAAATGTGATTATTAAGTGATATTTCTTCCATCTTTTGCATAAACAATAAATAGAATGTTCCATTTAATTTTTTTAAGTTATTGAACTTTTGACAAACGCCTTAATTTTTTTATCAACACACTAAAAAATGTTACAACCTTATAGCTTGTACCTTCTTCTTTGCGGTAGTAAAAAAGAATATTTTTTAAAAAGTGCTTGTTTTTGTTAAAAAAAACCGTCTTATGTTTAAAACTATGTAAAATCGACCAATAAAAGTTTAAACATTATCATAAAAATCTACATCCTAAACGCTAAGAAACATATGGTGTTTCATTTAAACAAACACAAGTTTGTATTATAACTTATTTTTGAGAAACGCTGTATAGTTGAAAATAATTTTAGGCGATGGACTAGATTAGTATCTATCAATGTCTTATACAATTTTTTTAAATTTTACCATTTAAAGGTCACTAATGGACTTTTTCAACTCGCTGGGACACCCTGTATCTGTTTGCTTGCAAAGAATTGTATATTTTTTATTCACTTTTTGACAAGGATTCGAAAACTTTTTATCTAATAAATGAAAATAAAATAAAATTACAAATTTTAATATGCCATTTATTATTTATTAATATTGTCTGTGTTTTAGACACTAAACAAGTAAACAGCTAATTTATATGTTGCACGTTGTCCAATTAATATAAGTCGACGTCTGTGTATTATGTGAACCGATTCCGAACTGGTATTGTTACATTGGAATCGTGTTAACTAACACATCTGCACATCTGTAATATCAGTACTTTGATTTTAGTTATTGGTACTTATTTATTGACACCTAAAATGTATGTAGAACATAATAAATAAACTTTTGCGGAAATTTAGAATATTTTAATTTCACCCTTAAACAGACATTGATTTTAATGCGGATTTATATGTCGTATAATAACATGATCATCTGTTCTAAAACCTAATTTTAAAAATACCATTAGTATAGTATAGTATACAAAATTACTGAATTTTGTTATAACTGGATTTTTTTTCCAGAACCACAACTACGGGGTGGTTTGTGAAACAATGGTAGAAACAGTGTTGTCTAGTGAAATTACGCGCAGCCAGCATAATGAAAAAGTCCAAGTCGCACGCCAAATCGGTAAGTTTCGACGTTCTTCCATCAACAAATAACAAGCATTTTTCATTTTGTCATTTGTATTGTTTAAAAGTACTTTTTATTTTTGATAGTGTTGTTGTTTTATTCGAAAATGCTGAAAATGTTGTGAGAAATGATGGTTTTGCTGACAGTATGAAATACATGGTACAACAGATCAGGCTATATCGAGCAACTACTGCATTGTATTATATTCGGACGTAAAGCAGATAGCTTTTTTACCTAATTACACGTTGAAACAATTGTTGTGCTTTGACGGTTTTAACACTTCGTTACGTTTATCATGTAACATGTACCGAAAGCTATCTATCGAATTCTTACCTACAGTATACAGGGTGATTCAGATAAGATAATGAGCCCGACGTTCTGGCGATGCAACCCAAAATACAAATTTCATTTACGTCTTGATCTAATTTTAATTACGATTTGCATTTGCAATCAAAGTTATCTTATGTTGCTCTGACAGTGCTTTGACAAGCAATTTATGATTTATAAATAAACTGTTTGCCTACCTTTAATGTTTCATTCTTTCATACATTTTGTGTTGGGTTTACATCGAAAAGACTTTTCTAATTTCTCTATCATTCCGCGAGAACTGAATGTCACTAATGTCAGAGTGACATAAGATGATAACTTGGATTCAACTTGCAAATCCTAATTTAAATTGGATCAAAGGCGTAAATGAAATTTGTTTTTTGGGTTGCATCGCCAGATCGTCAGGCTCATTATCTTATCTGAATCGCCCTGTATGTGTTCATTAAAACTAATAAACAGCGTTGTGTAATTTTAGAAAATAACCATTTATGTTGTATGTATAAAAGAAGTGAGACAAGTTTGTTATTACCCGACAACACATTTGGGGAATACGCTTTTTTTAACTGTCAGTGCGCACTCTGTCGTGTAATTTTTCCCTGTTGCGCAATATTGTAGATGCGGCTTTTGTAATACCCACAAACATTTAATAACACAATGAATGATCCATTACGCTGATTTCATACTTTTATTCGTAATACAATCAGTAATCACTTTCATTTTTTATTACCTGTTCATTAGTACATAATCATTATAGGTATATTGAAGTTGTATGTTTAAAGAATGAATGATTTTTCTAATAAAGTTTCTAAAATTAACAGTAAAAGTTGATATAACTTTGTTTTTGTTGCAAGGGCACGTTTTTGAATCATAAATTATTTAGTAAAAACAAGCAGTTTAATTATTAGAATTTCTTTTTATGGTCGTATACCGAGCAAATATTTTCTTAATTATTCAGGTGTTTTTGGTGGGAGTTTTTGGTTACACCTATTTTAAAGTTATATTTTTCAAAGAATTTTACCACAATCTCAAACGCCAAATTTGGAGAAAATATGAGTCTTGTATTCACTGGTAAGAATTAAAAAATGACCTCCCTACAGAATAAATTACTGATTTATATGCGGAAAATTATGAATAAGGTGCACAAATTTCCAAATGTATGTTTTACACATTTTACATACCTACTCACAAGAATTTATACATAAATGCAATTTGGTAAAGTGATCCTTACTCTATTTTTTTTTCGTTGGATGTTTCTCAATTTGTAGTGCATGACATAAAATTTAATCATACTATGTAATTCAGTTCAGGGTCAGCTTTAACACTCAGATGTAAATCAGGCATTTATACCACCAGTTAGGTACAATAATGGCTATTGATTCACGGCCATATACACACAACACGCACCCTTGAGACCATAAAACATGTCAGCTTTTTGTCGAAAAATAAATATTGACCTGTAAAGATTGATCAGTTATTTTTCATGACCGTTTGTTATCATTTTTATTGTTATTTTTACTAATCTAAATCTGTAGTGAATTACGGATGCTATTGTTTTGATTATCATAATTTTCATTTATAATATCTAATTATAATATACATAATTTCGATGTTATTTTTGCTAATAACGATTATTACAAATGCAACCAGGTATGAAACAGATTTTAATATGCAAAAACCTAAATTTTAGTTGAATCAATAAATTCATTATGCAAATTATTCACACGTTTATTTATCAGAGTGAATATGGAAAATTTCACGGCAAAGAAAGAAGGTTTAATATTTTTTTTGGAATGTCACGAAAAAAAAATTGGCGTTTATTCGTGAAGTGCTACCTATAAAAATTTTATTCTTTATTCTACATGCGGATCGACTTCTATTTTCCAGTGGCTAGAAAATTATCCACTCTGATGTTATTATATTGAAGATATTTTCCTAATAGGATTAAATTTAAAGAATTTTTATTTTTGTAGCAATACATAATTGCCTTATATTTGTGACACTACTGCAATGATATAATGTTTACGTAATCGATTTTTATGGATAAATGCACAATGGATTTCTAAAATAATGCATCATTGTTTTATTTCTTTAATATTGTAGCGTTTCTGACAGTGTTTTTGTTTTCTTCATCACGCTGACGTTTCAGGAAGCACTTCATCAAAATATTTTTAAATAAAAGTGTTTTTACTGACTTTGTGAATTTTCAGCAATCTTACTCTTATCTGGATAAACCAAGAGCAAAAGTAAGTTCAATGTTGCTTTCACGATATATATTATCCATTTACCCAGGTTGCATGATTATGTTTATTTTTCTTTTATAAATATTTTAAGCATGATGTTACGGCTCGTGCTTAAACGCAACTTTTTTGCAGCTTTAAAAGTGCTTTGATAATGCTTTGAACCACGCATAATTAGCTGTAATTGATGTAAATCACATATTTTTCTTAGCTGATACGTAGCTATATGTCAGACTTGGATTTCGACGATGGACCTGCACGCCCGCTACGATTTTTAATGACATCTGGATTCATTGAACTAAAGTAGATAATAATAAACTACATTTATCTGATACAGCAGTAAACATCGCAGCCACTTGACATAACAGATCAATTGACTTAGTTGACACGAGTAATTAATCGTCGTCGTTGATATTTGCGTTTGTCGCGATAGTTTTAGGAAATAATTGTATTCGAGGTAACCATTTCTAGAATCAGTTTGTAAAATCCGAACAACACAGCGCTGATAACGTCTGAGAAATGTAAAATTATCAACTTAAACAAATAGCCTGAACGGTTCGTTTAGTTTTTTGATGAAGGTTGTCTGGTCGGTTCATAATGACTTTAAAAAAGAGTGATATTTTACAATTTTCCCAAAAACTTAGTGGCAGTTTCCAAGAGCTGTGTACAATTAGGAAGAAAAAAAAGAACAAAGATGAGGTAGGCTTATAATTTTTATAAACAATTGTTACTAAATGACCTACCAAGGTCTGTTTACTAGGTTTACGCATACGGAAAATTAATTATGATCAAGCACAAGCATTTTTTAATTTGCTGATTTTCATACCACTTATAGTAGAAGTAGTTTTAAATGAAGCACACATGCGATATCATCCTTGTAGTTACAATCCTGATCAATCATAATCCCTATAACCGGCTTTAACCCGTAATTAAATTTAATTTAAAAATTGTGGATTTAGTTATCCAATACTACAATCATTGTGTGTTTTACTTTATACGGGGTGTTTCGCACAATTTTACGAGACTTGCGCCTAATGTACGCACTCAAATATACAAAATTTACAAAACACTAGATACAAAAAATACACATTTAATTATTTAATTTTTGGAAACCCATGACAATAGTTGTCAAACTAATCACTGTTTTGTTAATAGTCATAAACTGCAGTTTTTCAGAAACAATTATCATTTGTTCTATCAAGAGACGCCATGAATATGATTCTAATTTATCTGAACAAACTAGAGAAGATTATCTAATTTTTCAAAATTTGTAATCGAGCTCATATCGGAATATGTATTATTGATATTGCATCTTACAGGCGCAGGCCTCGTAAAATTATGTGAAACCCCCTGTATTATTTTTTATTGTATTATTTTAACACGTTATCTTATCAATATCCTTCGAGTTGCAACAATTAATAGATTTAAAAGAATAACAGTTGAAAATGAAGGTTTTACACCCAGTGATTTCACGACTTTGCATTTTTTATGTTAAAGTGTGTCACATATTTGCAATAATTTGCGATAGTATATCGCAAATGAATGTTTCTTGCTTATTTCTAACATTGATATTATCTGTTATTTTCTTGTTATCACTTACTTAAATATTTTTAAGAATTAGTGAGTCAGATTCTTTCATATTCAATAACAGTTATTAACTATCTTGAATGCAACAATTTCTTATTGTCGTATTTTAATTATTAATTGTGCTCAAAGTAGATGCATTAAGAGGCGTGAATATTCGCTGAAGCTTTGTTTACTTTCAGTTTATGAAGATTTCGGGACATTAAAGATTGTTTTTTTTTAGTCGTGTTTATTACGATGCTTACGACTAGCTTTAAAGCTTGATAGAATCGCGGCAACAACAGAACGATTTTTTATGGATAGATGATTCTGTATAAGTTCTATAGAATTAATGTCCGATTTTTAGGGTTGGTTTTCTCTAAAACTGGGTCAGTAGGACTGAACTTCGTGACCTGTTTTTATGAAGGCTACCTAGAGGAAGTCGTTGGAAGTCGTTTCTTTCTAAAGAATATTAAATTAATTTTTACTCAACATACATCTGTAATAAAAGACATATTGAGCGTAATCATAACTGCATAGTAATGAATTCAATTATAATAGATTTCATATAATAGATTCATAATAGATTTTACAGACAGAAGCATCAAATTGCTTGTTATTTCTGAAATAATACCTACTGTATTGTTCTTCGTTTTGCTTTTGTCTGGATTGTACAATTTGCTGGTATTTCTCTTATTTATTTTACCTACGACTTAATAGTGACGTGAAGTTTTTAAAAATTTCATTAAAAAAAAAAACAAATAATCTTGATGTCCACTTGTGCTTGTTTTTAATCAAAAGTAATAACTGATCAGTTAGGGTATAAACAAGAGTCTACAGCAATTTATATTCAATTTTGATGTGCCAACTTCCATTTCAGCAACATTTATTTAATCGCGTTTTTCAGTAACTTAATTTGTGCACTAGGATATGTATGCAACACTAATGAGACGCAACATTTTATTTGAAAGTTATAGTAAATAAACATTTTTTAGTGGATGTGTAATTGAATTCTTCTTTAATGCATGTTTATTATTATGTTGACAATTTTTTTCATAAACTAAAAATCCCATAAGCCGCAGTGTTTTTGTCACTATGACAGCGACAAAAGTTTGCGCTAACTATTACAGCGACAAAACGGAACCTAACTTTTGAAAGCGTCTGAATCTAGTAGGGTCGCATCATCGGATTTACGTATTCATTAAATTGTCTTACCGAATTACACTCAAGCTTTTTTTACGAAGAAAACTTGACATTTTTAATTCGAGTTTTGTTTCCTTTTGGCAATTTAACTCAAATATGTAAAGTATAGACGAGTAGACTCATTAAGTAATGGGGGAATTCAAAGGTGTACAGTTGGAGGCAAAATACTTTGGCCGTCACTTTTCTGACACTTTAATGTAATTCAACCTTTAACGTTAAAATAAATGACAATTTCAAATTACAGCTATTATATTTTCCTATCAAAAATATGTACATAGAACTTGACAGTAACTAAAAATAAGGTTAACAGTCCTAAAGCATGCTTTACCATTTAGTGTCACTCAAGTGACATTGACGACTAAAGTATTTTGTCTCCAACTGTACTTAATACAATAACGCATACCTTGACTACAGTTGATAATATTGGTATTGGAAGTAAAGTATCAAGTGGTGTTTGTTTAATAATTAATTATGATAAGGATATGCATATTTATTATCTGTATTCTACATGGGAACATGATTAGGGTAAATAACCGTATTATTTACCTGGCGAAGTAGTATGTAATTACAGTCGCTGTTATAAGGATATGAAAAAAAAAAACGAAAAAAGAATACAAACTCGTACATACATGTATTAGGAGTATTTAAACCGTATACAGGCTGCGCCAGAACTCGCTCCCCAGAGAAAAATGTCATATAAGGTAAGATACCAGGAACATGAAAAAAATGTTTAAAAAATTTTATCTATAAAAATTTCGAAGTTATGAGGGTTTAAAGTTTGCACTTTGACTCTTTATTTCTGTTGGAAAAATAAATTTCCAAGTTTTTTTGCTATAGGCTATTAAAAGAGGAAACAAGGAAGCTATATCCTAAATTGTAACTCTGTTCAATGTTATTTGTGGCTTTTATTGGCAAATTTTTTGTCCCTTTACTAAATAATTGTAAAAAAAACATATACAAGACAATCAGTATCACTAAATAGTTATAAATAAGTGTCAAATGTCAAAAAATATATGTCAAAATTTTTTGTCAGATAGAATTTTTTAAACATTTTTTTCATGTTCCTGGTATCTTACCTTACTTGAAAATTTTCTCTGGGGCGCGAGTTCTGGCGCACCTGTATATAAGGAAGATGTTTTATTTCGTCGTTTTGTTATTACAGAACTTGAAACTAGAAAAACGAGTTGATACTTGAAAACATTGTTTAAAGGATATTCTTTTTACAAAAAGTCTTAGTCTGAAGCTGCCCTCCTGAACAATTTGAAAATAAATTTATCTGGAATAATATTTACATGCAACTAGTGCATTGATAAGGTATTAGGTAATACAAAAATCAAGCGATAATTTCGATATTAGATAAGCAATTCATCGTAATATTAAATCAAATATTGAGTTAAAAATGTTTTAAGAAGAATACTGAAAAAGTCATGCCAAACTTAAAATTTCATTGAGCTTTTCCCTGGTGGTTTTCAATTTCCAAATAACAGTAGCTTAAATTTCATTATCTAATTAGAATTTATTTAAAAGTTGCATTCGCAGTACTATATGAAATTTTAGTGCACATTACAGCACTTTCGTGTTTTGTTAATGTTTGTAGAGCGTGAGGTCTAATTCACAAAAGAATAAAAATTGTAAAAGTAATTACAAATCTTTCGTCATGATATATTGTATACTCRTTTCTAATCCTGACCAAAAACTATACGTATGTGTGTTACGAATTTTAAACTTCTAAATCGAATTGTCTTTAGAATTAAAAAAAAATTAATACATCAAAAACCTATTTGAAACACCTATACGTATTTGCGGTAAGTTTGTTATACCAAAACGTGAGGTATTATATACAATATTTTAGCTTTTTAGGGCGAAGAAGAAGATAAAGATAAGTCGTTTCCAATTTTCAACTGAGAGAAAATTGTGTCATTTTGCTTTCCAGTACATATTTTGTGAACAAAAACATAAAAATTAATATTGATTTTTTTCTCTTTTTTTTATAATATGGTGTGGAAGATAAAAGAGGAGGTAGTTGCTGTACTTATAACACGCTTGTAACGTTAGATACGAATGGAAAAATAAATAAATAAATTGAAGTTAAAAGAAATTTATCAAGGAATGGCACAGATCGATCTGCGGGTTGTCGAAGCAATATTTAGCACATTCAAAGGGACCGGGTGTTTTGAACTTTTTACGTCTAACTTTATTATTTTTGTTTTTTTGAAATATCTCTAAATATTTATTTAAATATTGTCTTAAATCTAAAACACGGATTAGGTACTTTATTATGACGGCGTCTCCAATATCAACTCTACTGTTATCCTATTTTTGTGCAAATATTTACATAGCATTGTAACAATGGAAGCATCGGCAAAGAAATTAGATCGTTTGCACTCTACTTGTAAAAGAGACGGTGAGAAGAAAGCAATGAACCTTGGTAACCCTCGTATTTAGAACATCGCATCCTGGAAAGGATCTCCTTCACTAAGCTTGTAACCGAACAAAGATCTTTTTATAACAGCTATAGTGAATCACGTAAGCTTGTTACAACCTAATTCTAAATAATAATCACTTGGACGATAAAGTAGTTTATGTTGATTGAATCTTTAACATCATATCCGAATCTAATTCACCGAATTGTTCACGCAACGTTTCGTGTCACTTCTCTCTAACTCTAACCCCTTTCTAATCTGCAATAATATAGTGAAATTTCTCGTAGTGCTCTAACCATTTTTTTCTATAATTATTTACAGCATCGACGTGGAATATTTGACTCTTTAGTGAGTTCTTTATCAACATTTTTATGGCCGGTGGCAACTCCATTTTCTTCCGTAAGTTAATATGTTTCGCTATTGGGAACCGATACAATAACGCTTTTATGGTCTGTATATAAATGATATTACTCTAACATTGCATGGTAGTTTTGTATATTTTGGTGAAATTTGTGACGATATCATTACCATTACATATTCAAATATTTATTTTTTTCGAGTTTGTACGTATACGAGTAGGTATAGTTTTAGAATAGTCATGTAATTATTATTATACATTTACGTAGTACACCCTGTAATCTTTTATCATTAGCATTTTTGCGAATTTAAAGGGGTTTGTGGTTCTTTTATGCTTGAACAAGTAAACTATGCGCAAGCTTTTGTGAATGCGACTATAAAGCACACGTGTGGGCGAGAGCCGCCTTAAGCTAGGGGCACACGTTATTTTTTGATACTTTTTTTAATAAATACAAAGACAAATGAGTAATGGGTATGTAAATACTTATTTTTAAAGAGGAATGATATTGGCTGTTATGGTGATTGTAATTATTGGGATTATTTTGTTTAATACTTTTTTTACAGCATTTGTCCTTGTACGTACTATCATTTAGGAGTAAAATTTTACAAAATAGAAATCGTAAATACAGTTTACAAAAAACTTATTTGTTTTAAGTTTCCAATTATTGTTTTACCATTTATTTTTTTAATTATTGACGCATACTGTACTATGTATAATAATTACGTGATTAAAATAATACGTTTTACAATTTTCCACTGATTTATAAATGTCAGTTCCAATTTAAAGTACATAAAATGAAGAAACACAAAAACTTTTAAGGAACGTCAACTCATGTAGAAGTTTCTTATAATAATGTATTGAACTCTTTGTATTTGTAAATAAATTAAATTTTAAATATTTGTTGAAGTAAGGTATTGTTATAATTTTATAGTCATTAAACCGTTTAATTTGTTTTGGGTAGGTACTTGAAAACATTTTGAGGAAAATGATTGGCAACAGCCCGTAAACACGTGTATTGTTTGTTTAACTTGGAATGATTGACATGACATATATGCAATAGGTATATGTTTACAAACTTTGGCCAATAGACAATTATGTTTTGACTTGTCAAGTACTGGTAGCATATGTCAAGAATCAAATGCAAAATAGGTACACATAGAATTAATTCAGTTGTCAAAATATGTGATAGCTTGGTTTTAGAAAACTTGTATGTTGTAACTACTTGTAAATTTATCTTGTCGAATTTTTAGAGAGGATAGAAAATATAAACGTGCATTTTGATTTTATCAAAAGCAATTGTGGATGTTATTGTTGTCAATTATTTTTCTACTAATGAATTTATCAATTGAAAAAAAGCTTTTTTCTTTTGCATGGGTTTAAAAAGCTTGTGGCTTTGTAAACTCAAAGGCAAAATTTTTTGATTTTAAAGCGATGCAATTAGTAGCGTTTATAGTGGCTCTAAAAACTTGATTACTGCCATTAAATTCTATTTTCTTTCATAAAATTAAGTACTACCTATAATACAAAAACATGATTTATAATTAATACGCTTAATGGAATTGTGAACCTTTTCTAAACTATAATAATTTTGATCTAATAAAAAATGAAACGAAATTATTAATTATTGATTTTAATGTTCTGAAACTTCAAACGCTTTCTTGCATAAGAAAATTAATTTTAGATGCCTTTTGTGTTTTAAACTATAAAACTGAAAAGTTATTGGTGCAAAATAATGTCTTCTTGTCTTAATGTTAATTCCTTGCTTGTTGCGAATTATCCGGAAATGAATATTACAATAATAATAATTGCTAACGTTATGGCCTTTTTTGTTACCACTTTTGTCTCAATATCTGCACAAGCACTCTTAACAATAATAATACTCGATGTAACAGTGACCTAAAATTTTAGTACATATTCAAGTTTAGGGGTCGACGTAATTCCATATAATCTGGGCCAAGTCGAGGGTCGAGTCTCTTTTTCAGTTTAAAATGTTTTTTTTTCTTAAAATACAGTAGTCAAATTGTGATATTCTTTTTTTTATACTGTCTGTAACACATAGTGCATTTTGATACAATACGTTTGCCGCACTTTCCAGAAATTAGCACCGTAGATTTTGTGTTCAGCAAAAGTCGAACATTTTTGTAGTTTTATTGAGTTTTGCAAAATTACAATTTGCTAGAAGTTTTAAAACATTATCTTATTTAACTGAATTTACATATTAACAAGTTATACATATAAATGTCAGCAAATTAGAGACTAGAAACAATGAGAAGTACTTTGAAGTTACATTGAGACCGAAATTATTCTAACATAAAGAAATATGCTCGGGAATGGATAAGTAGAAAATTTATCAACATTAAATAAAGAATGATTTTTATTCAAATTTACTTACTGGATGTTTCATCTTTAAGATTGCAAGTAATGGTAAATCATAGTCCTGGGAAATTGTGGAAAAAGAAGGATCAATAAATATACAAATAGAACCAGAAATGATTTGTAATTTTTTTTTTGTTTTTTCTTTCTAAATAGTCTCATAAATCAAAAGTAGGACACACCAAATGACGATCAATGACTGTGATTTTTGTGGGTACGTTGGCAACATATCTGAAATCTTAGTTTGGCGACATTGACTATCAAATTCAAATTTTATAATTGATTTTCATTTTTTTGTCGCAATCATTTAAAATCTCTTGGTATTTATTTCAGTCTACACTCTATAAACAATTCAAGTTACGATGTGAGTCTAAATTGAGGTAACAGAGTTTGTGCTCATTTGGTTATAGTAGGAAAATTACAGAGTGAAACTTCAACGCAGGTAATACGAAAATGAACCTGTATGTAACGCTTTATTAAGTACACGCAAATGAACATTTTTAAAGTTCTACTTCAACATCTTCTGTCTATTACACACAATGACTTCTCAACTGCACTTGTTGGTCTTTCGTAGGTACTTCGTATAATATTATTATTGCTCAAAAGTATTTTTTGTTACCAGATATTAATTTAGCTTGTTTTTTAAAATAATTTATAATTACAGGCTCCTGCGCGGAGTTGGATAGAAGCGACTTTCCACAAAAGGGAGTGCGTCAGATTCATAGCCCACAACAAAGATGAGCAGAGGTAAGTGTTTGTTCTAATGTAAATATATCTTTATCGGTTTAAGCTTTTCTGGTCGCCTTTTTTTTGTTTAAAAAACATGTTTTAAATTATCATCTGAATACTTGCAATTTCTTGTAAAACTACTTTTCATCAATTTAGTTTTACTTATAAATAGTTATACTTAAAGAGTTAATTAGCACTGCGCTAATTATACAGGAAAAATTTTGCGTTGATTATCAGAATTATGCATAAAATGCTGACACAGTATTTAGTACATATTGGAATAATAAAATTATTTTTTARAAAGACAAAAAGTATTGTTTTACTGCAAACCAGCCACTAGGATTTTAAATTGTTAATTTGTGGTAAATTAATTTGAAGAATATGTTTTTAAAATA